CAAACTTGGGAGCACATTGTTGCTATGATCCTTCGTATCTTCTGTCATGTAACGAGAAAGCGCTGAAAATAGAGGAGAAAATTCACGGCAAAGAAGCCAATCATGTCCATCTAGCCATCTGCTTTGGATCACTTGGTTCTTGTTTGATGACAACAAACCGCGAGTCAGAAGGAGTGGAGTATTTCTGCAAATTCTTGAAAATGTTTGAAGAGATTAATTTAGACGCGAATGAATCCTTTGGTCACGCACACCTATCAATTGGAGAAATCTTTGGACAGCATTCGCCGGGACAAGCAGAAAAGCACTTGAGATCAGCAGAAAAAGTTTTGAAGGAGGTCTTAAAAGATGAAAGTGATGTATCATTGCTTCAGATCAATTCTTCCTTGCTAGAGATTTTTGCGAAAACAAGCAGAATGAAAGAGGGCCTCGAGCTTGCCGAAAAACAGAGACGCTTGATTGATATTATGTTGTCTAAATCCAATTCTCCAAGCGCTCATCAGCTTTCTCAAGTGATCCTCCTTGCTTCGTTTTACGAAGACTGTGGAAGACGAAATACTGCAAAAAATTTATTCATTGACCTGATTGGACGTATAGAGGAGCAGGTCGATATCGCTGATTCAGACCAGGGTTATTTGGAGCGCCTGCTGTGGACTGCAGAATTACGAGCAGGAGGTATTTACCGAACTAATGGAATGTTCGATCACGCAGAAGCCATGTTTCAGCGTATTCTTTTGTCAGTGGAAAAGACAACTTCACAGCGGCAATTGGGAAAAGAATTTCGACATGCTGCTCTGTATAATCTATCGTGTATTTTTACGCAAACCGGAAGATATCAAGAAGCACATAAACTGCTTGACAGTCTTATCAATCTCTATGAGCAAGACCCAAAGTCGATCGATCCCGAAGCAGCATCGTACGTTTTTCTCATTCGTAGCGAACTTAATCGTAAAACCTTATGTTCCAGCCTTGCACTTGAAAACCTGGAAAAAGCCTTGAAAACAGCTGAAGTGTTCCGATTATCGAAGTCTACGATCACATCAGCAACTGAAATTCTTTATGCTAAAGTCATGAACGCATTTGGATTAGTTCATGAGGAAAACAACAACCTGAGCCTTGCTCTCGACTATTATACTTGCAGCCTAAGCACTGTAGATGGGTTGCCACCCAAGATGGACACAGCTATATTTCACCAAAATAAGGCGGATGTTCTAAAAACGCTTGGACGATTTGAAGATGCTACAATACATTACAAAAAATCTTTGGAAATCAGAGAAATGTTGTATTCCGAGGACCCAGTCAGAGAAGATATTGCTACGGTGCTCTATCATTTGGCTCTCACCCAGTATATTAGTCGACAGCCCAACGAAGCCTCCAAAACTCTGGAGAAGCTTTTACCCTTGAGGAAAGAACTTCTTAAAGAGGGTGGTTTAAACCCATTGCAAAATTATGCTGCAGCGTTGGTTCTCAAAGGTGGCTGTCACATCTCGGAACCTGACGAAGCTCAGCAAGCGAAAGAGGCCTTCGAAGAAGCAGAGAAAATTCTTAAGTGGCTGACGGAAGGACAGCTAAACCAGGATTACGCTGGAGTTTTGCACAATTTGGGTAAGTATGATTCACAAAGAAGCACATATAAATCTTCTACTGTTAAAATATTTACATCGGTCTCTAGAAAGCTACATGCAACTATACAGATTTCCGGAACAGGTGCATATATAATCATCAGAAAAAGGTAGGAACTTACTTGATCTAGGCAACAAAATGCCGACCAACAGTTTGATGCACTAAGAATAATCTAATTTTCCAAATTCTCTGTCATAGGTAGTGCTTGCTTTATGTTGAATCAGTGGGAAGAAGCAATACCCAAACTGGAAAAGGCACTTGAGTTGAGGAGAATTATTTATGAAGGAAAAGCGGTGCCAGATGTAGCTTCAACCTGCGAATTTCTCGCTACAGCGCTCTTTAAGAATCACGAGTACCAGAAAGCATTGACTTACTTTGAAGAAGCGTTGAAATATTTTGAAGTTTGCCAGACCCCAGATAATGAGACGAAATGTGCTCTCCATATTGCTCTTTGTCACAAAAGTTTAAAGAATTTTGATCTTGCCTGGAAAGCGTTTGAGAAAGTCAAGGTGTTGTGTGCCAGAGAATCAGTCAGTGATGAGATGCGAGATGAGGTTCAAGAAACAATGGCAGAAAATGAAGAGAATACGAACAAACCCAAGGACAGTTAATGCCACCATTGGTTTTGTGCTGAGCACCATGACAAATCGTATAGAAGTTTAGGCTATCCTGCATATAGAAAGTGTTAGCTGTAATTGAGCCAATTTATAGATTTATAAATGCATGCCAATGCGAAGAAAAAAGTAAGGCTTGCATCAATGGACGACTTGCGCTTTAGACTAATACATCTTATCCCAGCGGTAAAAAGAAAATTTTCCGGCTGAAAGAGTTCACTAACATTAGTTGTAAATTACAGAAAATATAGCCATGCGAATTTGTCGATTTTTGTATACCTTTGTATTATACGGCCGGAAGTTTGTAACTAAATTTGTTACAGGGTCGTTACACATTCTGTGCGTAATACTAAAGTATACTAAATATGCTAACCTCGCATGGCTATATTTTCCACATTTTACAAAATTTCACAGCTAAACTTTGCATTTGCACTAGTTCAAGAAAGCTCTTTCTAGCTGTGGTGATTTATTTTCTTCTTATTACTACTAAAGCGCAAGTCGTCCATTAGACCTCGCTTGATATAATAACTTACCCGATCGACGCATGGGTGATAAAAGTAGTCTACAATAACTTTGAATCCTTCCTTCACCCTCCCATTTACCGGTAATTTTGCTTACTCAAATCAGATACTCACAATAAGCTATAATAAAAGTTTATCAAAGAAATTCTACTTTACAAAAAGATTGAATAAGGGAGGATCGACTTATGTCCAAATATTAGGGATTTTGGCCATCAGCCTAAAAACATTAGAAATATCCTGGTCACTCTGTCTATATATGTACTTTTATTCTACAGCATTGGCAAAATTTACAAATATGATTTCAATTAATGAGTTAGAAATCTGGTATAAAAACCTTTTCGGTTTTTTCTTCTATGTATGTATTCACAACAATAAATCTACATTGAAAAATATATGATGATTCATGGACTGACGGGATACTAAGGACATTACATATTCGGTTATAGGGGTATATCTCGGTATTTTTGAAGAAGCAATGCCAGTCTGCCAGATAAAACTTGCTCGCTAGCCAAAGCATTCTTGCATGAGACTGAATTGCGAGGCGGAAAATAGTATTCCCTTACTTTCATGAAGAAGTTCATTGAATACTCAGTACCAGGGCCGCGTACACAGCTAGCGGGGAGGGCCTTACACAGCTAGCGGGGAGGGCCTTACACAGCTAGCGGAGAGGGCCTTACACAGCTAGCGGGGAGGGCCTTACACAGCTAGCGGGGAGGGCCGTATACACATGCAGCTAGCGGGGAGGGCCTTACACAGCTAGCCGGAAGGGCCGTACACACAGCTAGCGGGGAGGGCCTTACACAGCTAGCGGGAGGGCCGTATACACACACAGCTAGCGGGGAGGGCCTTACACAGCTAGCGGGGAGGGCCTTACACAGCTAGCGGGGAGGGCCGTATACACATGCAGCTAGCGGGGAGGGCCTTACACAGCTAGCGGGGAGGGCCGTATACACAGCTAGCGGGGAGGGCTGTATACACAGCTAGCGGGGAGAGCCGTATACACAGCTAGCGGGGAGGGCCGTATACACAGCTAGCGGGGAGGGCCGTATACACAGCTAGCGGGGAGGGCCGTATACACAGCTAGCGGGGAGGGCCTGACACAGCTAGCGGCGAGGGCCGTATACACAGCTAGCGGGGAGGGCCGTACACAGCTAGCGGGGAGGGCCGTATACACAGCTAGCGGGGAGGGCCGTATACACAGCTAGCGGGGAGGGCCTTACACGTCCAAATGGTAGAATGTAGTTATTTTTACAGTACCTGGAAAGGTTGTAAATATTCTGAAAAATAGACATGATATTTTCAGGAGTTAGGAGTATGAAAGTTTAGAAATAAAGTGAAAACAAAAGTTTGTTTTTTACCGACAAATGATATTGACAGACTTGTAAAATTTGTTCATTCACTTGCTGTTTCGCAAGGGAGTGCATTTGTAAAATGAAAGAAAAGAGGAATAAAACAAAAGTGGCCTACCCAATCAAATGTGAAAGTAAAACGCACATATTCTTGATCGTAAGGAAATAAACGCATTTTCTACTTAATTTCGAATGCAAACTATGTTGAGATTTCCCGGGCATAATATATTTTGCAGACTTCAAACCTGTGTATGGAAATACACTTGCCTGCATCTAAAAGAACTGTTGACCAGAAATCAATTTGGTGGGTTCGTCATAAATTGTAAAACAGAGTTAGTTTATAAAATCAGATATCAGCCTTACGACCAACCGCCGCAAATTTTGTCCCCACTCAGGTGAAGAGGATATTTAACATGCAATTATTCGCGGAAGGCGAGGAGAAGATCGCTCAATAAACCGAGATGAAGTTGAAGGTTTTTATTCGGCGATACTCACCCAGCCTGATGCGAATAATTGTTTTAGTATAATTAAAAAGTAGTATGGTTATCAAATAGTATGATTTTTCTAAAAAAAAGGAATCGTTTAAAGAAAATACATAACGCATTTCTTCATCTGTCACTTTGACAGAAAAATTTTGCCGCCATTTTGAAAAACCGCTTAGGTCATTATCACGTAATAATCAGAGGTCGTTTGACCAATCAGATACCAGAATTTTCGATTATCACCTTTGTATTTATACTAAATATGTAAAATTGCATGTTGCGCTGGGTGCTGTCGCCATGATACCCGCACGAAATATTTTCTCCTCGAACCCAGTCCGTAACCGCCACCCTTTGCGTAACAAAACGATAAAACCTTGAGTCGCACGTCAACAAATATCATTCCGCGAACTCGGGTACATGTGGTGAGCAATTTTGCTAAGTGCATCTCCAAGTAATTGCAAGAAGATTTCTTGTAGACGCTATAGACGTGTATATGGTACTGAGTACTGGTACTAAAACAAATAAATTCTAAAACAAGGTTATCCTAATGGCCTATGCATCAAAGAAATTATTCAGGACATACTCTCTCCTTGGTGAGTACTTTCGCTATTCCTCCATGCTGTGTCAAATAATTCATTGATTTGTAATCTTTGCTCGATTCACTTTCATAAACAGCTTTGTTTACATGCACTAGAGAGACAGATCATGCACTAGAGAGACAGACAAGTCCAGAAGAACTAGGGAAATTTGAAGGCCACAAATTGACCTTCTGTCGAATAGACAAACTAAAAGTTAGTTCATAAATGATAATTCGCCTTTTGTACTCGCAATATATAACTGGACTATCACGCAACAATGAAGAACGATGTGCTCTTAATTTTGCAGTTGTACTATACAACCCCTTGATGTATAAATTCTTCTTGCAGATCGAGTTATTCATAATGAGCCATGGGACATTCCTAAATTCAAGGTTCCATCAGCAAAGAAAGATATCTGGGAAGGTAAGTCGTTTAAGAACTGAACGGCAGTGTTGTGCACGATTATTTTGTACGATTTTTTATTTTACAAACTTTACATACATACATATGTATACATTTTTCGCGAACTATAAAACGAAACTTAAATCATATGCATCATATTTCAGCGAGGCAACCGGAAATATAAACATGCAATATTACAGGAAGTTGTATTTTCGATGTAAAAAACTCGTACACTTTAAAAATATAACCGATGAAATGTCATCAGCTTAAGGATATCTTGTCAAATGTTTCTGAACAAAGTGTTTTTTGTAGCATAAATGCTCGTGTCAACTTCGTAATTACTCGTGAATTTACGTCTGCGGGCAGGTTACAATTAAATTACTGAAAACCTGTCGATATGCATAGCCCCACACTCTTAGACAAACTCCTTCCTATTCCTAGATCATTTCGAACAAGGTTTAAGACACTTAGATGAGAATAAATCGAATCTCGCTGAACAATCGCTCAGTAAAGCCTTAAAAATCCTATCTGCTTCTCCAATGAAAAAACACCTTAACAAAGAGAAAGCAACATGCTTCCACGCTATGGCGGAAATCTATTCAACCCGAGCATCGCAGCAGATGGATGATGACGGCTTTTGTGAAATGATGGTTAAAAGCTTCGCTCTTTTCGAGGCCGAGCGAATTTACAAGCACGGCAGCTACAAGGCTGACGAGGAAATCGACACAGCCATCTTCGAAGCAGAAGTAAAGTTCATTAGTAAAGTATTTGGGGCTGTTGGTGTCGATCATTACAAGAAGATGGAAAACAAAAAAAATCTGAATCGGCAAAAGTTAGAAGAGATTCGTTTGAAACAAACTAACGAATATTTCCCTGCCCTCGACAGACTTCCGGATTGGAACTCAGGAGAGGAAGAAAGACGATGCCAAGAAATTGAAAAGATATATAAACAAATTGATAATGATATGAAGTGCCTCGTGGTCGAAATTTTTTCTTATTGTTGTGAAATTGCTGGCTCCGCACCCTGCAACTTTTCTATCATTGGTCTGGGATCTATGTCCAGACAGGAGATTACTCCATACTCTGATTTAGAGTTTGCAATTCTGGTGCAATCCAAAAACAAAAGTTCTTCGTCAGAACAACGGCAGTATTTTCGATTCCTGACCTACTTAATTCAAGCGCAAATCATCAAATTAGGAGAAACTATTTTGCCCAGTGTTGGTATTTCTAGTTTAAATGATTTCTACAGTGGGAATATAGAAGATGATTGGTTTTACGATGATGTAATTCCCAAAGGATTTTCATTCGACGGTATGATGCCATGGGCCTGCAAGACTCCTCTCGGAAGGAAAGAATGGCGTGGACAACCTCGGCAAGAGTACATCATGACTGTGGATGAAATGCTGAAGCTTCAAGATGTAATTCCCGGCTCTCCTCTCGAGAGTCTGAAAACCGCAAACGTTTTCAGCAGCGTGTGCCATCTCTTTGGCAATGAAGAACTGACAAAGTCCTACGAGCAGAAATTGTCTTCCCTGGTCACGAATACCGAGACGAGGAAAAATTTCCAAGAACAAGTCATGGAAATCATGCAAAGTTTGCTGAACACTTACGACCTGATGACACTATCTTTATGTGACAGTGGAACGCAACAAGACGTGAAGAAAGAGGTCTATAGATTAGCAAGTCTTCTGGTGGAACAATTGTCAAAATATTTGGGAATTTTCGGACACAGTTCTTGGCGATGTATACATGAAATGAAAGTGAAGAAGATACTCACTGAAGATGGGGCAAAAAATTTGCGAGCAATGTTAAGTATTACCACTGAGCTTCGATTGAAATGCTATCAAAGGCAAGGCAGACAAAAGGAGGCATTACCTACAGTTCCACAACTGTCGGTCACTGAAGAAAAATGTACGCCTTGTTCATTCACGACAGCCATCGTCCGTCTTTATAAGAGTCTTGTACCGTTGTCATCAACGATGTCTAACATCGTTTGGAAAATCAAAAACCCATATCATCCGGGGATTATTCTGCTGACCCCTAATCCAGACATAAATGAAATCGCCAAATTTCTCAGGAACTACGACTTAAGAGACCCGGAAACGATACTTGTGAAAGGGCTTCAACAACAACCATTTCTGGATGTTTCGCCGATGACAACAGCCATGGCGTATCTGCGTGTTTTACAACTTCCTAAGGCGATCGAATGTTTGCTTTCTGCAAAAGATGATTCAATGAATATAATGGACAGGGTAAGCTTACGTCATGCACTCGCATATTGCTACATGCACATCGGAAAATTTCAAGAAGCTATTAACTGTTACCGTGAGGTGCAAACGTTACACACACTGGCGCCAGATTTTGTTGAAAAAAGCGACGTAATTGATGCATTGATTTCAATCATGGAAGCCTATACTCACCAGGGTCTGTTAAACGAGGCTGTAAATGTGCACACGCAAATCGTTAGCCTTCAAGACCAACAAGATTCAAAGGACAATGCCGTGAATAACACGAAATTGCGTTTTCTTACCTCCAGCGCGGTGCTTTTCACAAGATTCGAAAAGTACGACAAAGCGGAAATCATACTTAGAACCATTTTGAAGGGAATAAAAAAACACCGACAGCAATATTTCGGCTATTTCATGACCCTAAGTAACCTTGCCGTCGTTCTACTTTGCGAGGACAAGTTCGAGGAAGCGAAGACCATCTTGAACGATGCATTAGAGGTTGCCGGCGAACTTTATGGAGAAAACGCTGTTCATCACGAATTTGCTAACTGTTTAACCAACCTGAGCGAAGTTTATTATTATCTTCAAAATATGGAAGAAGCAGAACGTTTGGTTCGTTTGGCCCTCATAATTCGTTCTCAATTACATGATTATGAGAAAGAGTTAGTCCAGCCTGGCTTTGTCCATGCGCTGATTCTCAAAGCAAGAATACACCAGTTTTATAAACAACTTGATGATTGGTTTAGCACTTTGAACCAGGCAAACGAAATTTCTAAGAATTTTTATGGCGGCCAGCCACACCCATATAATGCCACCATTATTCACGATCTTGGCGTTTGTGAGCAAGAGCGTGGAAATTTCTCGGAAGCGTTACACCATTACCAAGAGCATTTGAAAATTTACGAGAATCTAATATTGGAACGTCAGGAAAATGGACAGGATTGCCACATGGCATATATTCTCGTTCGAATTGGAAATTTGGCAGAAGATTGTTGCTATGATGCTTCGTATCTTCTGTCATGTAACGAGAAAGCACTGAAAATAGAGGAGAAAATTCACGGCAAAGAAGCCAATCATGTCCATCTAGCCATGTGCTTTAAATCACTGGGTTCTTGTTTGATGACAGCAAACCGCGAATCAGAAGGAGTGGAGTATTTCTGCAAATCCTTGAAAATGTTTGAAGAGATTAGTTTCGATGCGAATGAATCCTTTGGTCACGCACACCTATCAATTGGAGAAATCTTTGGACAGCATTCGCCAGGAAAAGCAGAAAAGCATTTGAGATCAGCAGAAAAAATTTTGAAGCAGGTCTTAAAGGATGAAAGTGATGTATCATTGCTTCAGATCAATTCTTCCTTGCTGGAGATTTTTGCGAAGACAAGCAGAATGAAAGAGGGCCTCGGGCTTGCCGAAAAACAGAGATGCTTGATTGATATTATGTTGTCTAAATCCAATTCTCCAAGCGCTCATCAGCTTTCCCAAGTGTTCCGCCTTGCTTCGTTTTACGAACACAGTGGAAGACGAAATACTGCAAGAGATTTGTTCATTGACCTGATTGGTCGTATAGAGGAGCAGGTCGATACCACTGATGCACACCAGGATTATTTTGAGCGTGTGCTGTGGACTGCAGAATTACGAGCAGGAGGTATTTACCAAACTAATGGAATGTTTGATAACGCAGAAGCCATGTTTCAGCGAATTCTTTTGTCAGTGGAAAAGACAACTTCACAGCGGCAATTGGGAAAAGAATTTCGACATGTTGCTCTGTATCATCTATCGTGTATTTTAATGAAAACTGGAAGATATCAAGAAGCACATGAACTGCTTGACAGTCTTATCAACCTCTATGAGCAAGACCCAAAGTCAATCGATCCCGAAACAGCATCGTACGTTTTTCTCATTCGTAGCGAACTTAATCGTAAAACCTTATGTTTCAACCTTGCACTTGAAGACCTTGAAAAAGCCTTGAAAACAGCTGAAGTGTTCCGATTATCGAAGTCAACGTCCACATCAGCAACTGAAACTCTTTACGCTAAAGTCATGAACGCATTTGGATTAGTTCATGAAGAAAACAACAACCCAAGCCTTGCTCTCGACTATTACACTTGCAGCCTAAGCACTGTAGAGGAGTTACCACCTGATATGGATACAGCTACGTTCCACCAAAATAAGGCGGATGTTCTAAAAACGCTTGGACGATTTGAAGATGCTACAATACATTACCAAAAATCTTTGGAAATCAGAGAAATGCGGTATTCCGAGGATCCAGTCAGAGAAGATATTGCCACGGTGCTCTATCATTTGGCCCTCACCCAGCATATTAATCAACAGCCCAACGAGGCTTCAAAAACTCTGGAGAAGCTTTTACCCTTGAGGAGGGAACTTCTTAAGGAGGGTGGTTTAAACCCATTGCAAAATTATGCTGCAGCGTTGGTTCTCAAAGGTGGCTGTCACATCTCGGAACCTGACGAAGCTCAGCAAGCGAAAGAGGCCTTCGAAGAAGCAGAGAAAGTTCTTAAGTGGCTGACGGAAGGACAGCTAAACCAGGATTACGCTGGAGTTTTGCACAATTTGGGTAAGTATAATTCACAAAGACGCACATATAATGATTAAAATGAGAAACAAACTGATTGGTTCCTGCGTGTATGGAAATCTAATTGTTTGCTCACGTGGAAATGATGATGTCATAAGCTGCGTTTACACTACGCGTGAACGTTGTTTATCTGGCCTATACCAGGCCTGAAACTGGTATTGGCCACAAAATCCATACCAACATGTGAAAGGCTTTGCCTAGTCCTAAATATCCATTTTTTTATATCTTAACTTAATAGTAAAATCTGTATAGGACCCTTACTAGTATGACCACTTTTTGGCGTGTTCGGGATCTTGTTCCAAGTATTTTTTCAATTATATGTTGGGTAACTGCATGATATCATGACCAAGAAAGACAGCGTGAACGTACCTAGACTTGTCCTAGACCTGACCCAGGCCAGATCTAGGCGTCTGGTGTAAAAGCGGCTATAGTCAGCTTGTGGGTAGGATTCTCAATTTGGCGATTTTGTGTATACACACAAAAATAATCTAATTTTCCAAATTCTCTGTCATAGGTTGTGCTTGCTTTATATTAAATCAGTGGGAAGAAGCAATACCCAAACTGGAAAAGGCACTTGAGATGTGGAGAATTATTTATGAAGGAAAAGCGGTGCCAGTTGTAGCCTCAACCTGCTACTTCCTTGCTAGAGCACTCTTTAAGAATCACGAGTACCAGAAAGCATTGACTTACTTTGAGGAAGCGTTGAAATATTTTGAAGTTTGCCAGTCACCAGATAACGAGACCAACTGTGCGCTCCATATTGCTCTTTGTCACAAACGTTTGAATAATTTTGATCTTGCGTCGAAAGCGTTTGAGAAAGTCAAGGTGTTGTGTGCCAGAGAATCAGTCAGTGATGAGATGCGAGATGAGGTTCAAGAAACAATGGCAGAAAATGAAGAGAATACGAACAAACCCAAGGACAGTTAATGCCACCATTGGTTTTGTGCTGAGCACCGTGACAAATCGTATAGAAGTTTAAGCTATCCTGCATATAGAAAGTGTTAGCTGTAATTGAGCTGATTTATAGATTTATATATGCATGCCAATGCGAAGAAACAAGCAATGCTTGCGTAAATTAGGCAGTTTGACCTGGCTTGATGCAACAACTTACCCGATCGATGCATGGGATGATAAAAATAGTCTATATAATCATTTTGAATCCTTCCTTCCCCCTATTTACCGGTAATTTTGCTTACGTATGTATTCACAAAAATGAATCTACACTAATAAATATGACTCATGGACTACGGGTTATTAAGTACATCACATATGGTTATAGGAGTATTTAAGGGTATTATGCGGTTATATAGTGGTATATATGGATATAATGTGGTCATATAGGGGTATATTACGTGGTTATTGTGGTATATAGATGTTGGTTTCATACTTGAATATAACTAACAATGAATACTCTTGTTTCATTTTTTATTTATATAACAAAGAGTTCTGGTAATTACGTCATTCGAACTATGCATGTAATGTATGCATGTATGTAATCATTTTTGCATGTAAAAAGTTACGGGAGAGCGGAGTAAACGGGAAAAAACTCACGTTTCGCGGCGTAATTAATGTTTATCAAATTTTCTGAAATTGCGATACATTGCACAAAAGATTTCAAACTTTCACCTCTTTAAATGAACTTGGATTTTCAACCTCTCATTTTCTTTGCACAAGCGGTTAAAAATGAGGCTTTTACAAACCGTTCTCCCGCTTTTCGAGGTTAATTTTTCTGCTAGTTTTTGCTGTTAGATTAGCCAGAATATGCTAAAATACTTAGACGTAAATATATTTTTGAGATATTTTGATAAAATGATAGTTTTTTGAACATTTTTAAATCTTCTAGTTTTTTCTGACACACCTTGTAGAGGAGCTAAGACCATGTGCACACGGTAAATGTTTTCGAGCGTTTTCACATTCGTTTTTACGCCAAAACGGTTTCAAACACCGTCAATCTTCAACCAACAATGGCGGATGCCGGTTACAAGTACGAACTACGACGCCACGTGCAAGAGCTCGATTAAAGCCACCCTAATGGGCATCGCTGGAACGATTTTACCCGACATCGTTGAGATATTCATTAACGATGTTCACAGATTTGACTTCTACCACAGCTTATACCATTGGGTGAATATGAACTAATTTGAAAATGTGATATGAGATTAACCAATCACGAGAGACAATTATTTCACCCCTGCGAATTTACTAGTAAATTTACCATATTTGCTTGTGGCTCAGATGTAAATAATGCCGGCGGTAAAGAGTTACTATGGATCGTAAATATCGTAAGTATGATGCTACCCGCATCAATCTCTATCGTCTAAATACTTCAATAGATGTTGGCTGGAATCTGTGGCTGCCTGCCAGCAGAGCTTTGGTTTGTGGTGAGCCGTAATGATACCCCGAAGGGGGTTGGTACGTAGAACCGAGATAACTCAATGAATTTTGAGTTGTATTGGCGTTTCCGCTGATGTGAAGATCACGAAAACCACCAAAAGTCGCACCAAAGCCAGGGTAGCACCAGATTGCTTTCTCGTTTGCATGAACTTCAATTGGACACTTAAACGGCTTCAGGTTGTCCTTGTTTCGAAGTGAGAATAGGAACGAAACATCGGAATGCTTGAAAGTTTGAGCTAGAGCAAAGTGAAAATAAAAATGTTTAATGCTGAAACGTGGCTTCGAATAATGAATGTTTTATAGAATATAGCAAAAGAACATTTGAAGTATAGCTGGATTACAGCACTTTATGTATTATTATATTATGTTTTATATTATCTATTATTTATTATATCCTATTATGTTTTATATTTTCTATTATATATTATATTATATTATGTTTTATATTATACTTCTAATGTCCTAAAAATAGGGAAAATAAGGAAAAATAAAGATTACGAGATGCTTGCGCTTTTTTCCAACTTTGGTCGGTGAAACCTCCAAAAACGTTGATCCCACATTTCACCAAGGTTACTGTAGGTCCAACCTCGTCACACTTTCTGTGAAAATCCTCTCCTTTCCAGCCATCTCGTGAAGCTCGATAACAAAGTTGCCAAGTGAATTTATGATCATCCACCCACTCCACAAGTTGTTTGGCGTGCTCAAAATTTCCATCCAAGATGGTGGAATTGTCAAGCAATGATTGTATGGGGTCATCAACTGTAAGATGAGATAACATTAAGATTTTTGATTGTAAATAAAAAATTTTGAGTTACCTACAAATAGTTATAGTTGCTGCCAGGGTTTCCACAATGCAAAACCTTGCAACAAGGGGGGGGTCTGTGTTAACAGTATATTAGGATGCATTCTTTTTAAAAGCTCTTTGTCATTGCCATTGAGGACAGACAGTTGTGGAAACCCTGGTTACTGCGTTCAGTATACCAGAATATCGATTTAGATTATGGTATTCATTTGATAATCCATCAAATACAGTCGCTTGTGCTGCACTAAAAGGTAAACACACGCACATAGGAATTAGATTATGATTTTTAACAATAAACTTACCAATATTTCCCAAATCGCTCAGGTCCACACGATTCTCAACAATATCTTTCGGCGAGTTTGCCCGCTCGTATTTAAGACAACCATAATGAACTGGCCGCAACGACTCAGGACATTCCTTCACGATTTCCTTGGCGTGCATCTCAATGTCTTTCCCAAGGGAAAGGATTTCTTCCTTGCCTCCATTTTCAACGATATTCCGAGCAAACTCTAGTGAACCATTCACACCGTCTACGTATGCCTTCATATCGGTATATTGCTTTGCAAGTTTTTGGTAAACATCGTCGTGCTTGCTATCAACTTGCTCCAGCAACACTGCCGTGTTGTGTTTCAATTTCACGAAAAATTCTTGTAGGATTTGTTTCTCCTGTTGCAGGACGACATCTTTGGCCTTTTTGGCGCTGGATTGCACATTTTGTATAGCGTTTTTGATATTCCGTAAAGCGCCCATCCCCTCGCTCGACTTCTCCTGCAACGTTGCCGGGGAGGGCCGTATACACAGCTAGCGGGAAGGGCCTTACACAGCAAACGGGGAGGGCTGTATACACCGCTAGCGGGGAGGGCCGTATACACAGCTAGCGGGGAAGGCCGTACACAGCTAGCAGGAGGGCCGTATACACAGATATAGCGGGAGGGCCGTATACACAGATAGTGGGAGGGCCGTATACACAGCTAGCGAGGAGATCCGTATACACAGCTAGCCGGAAGGACCGTACACGTCCAAATGGTGGAATGTAGTTATTTTTACAGTACCTGGAAAGGTTGTAAATATTCTGAAAAATAGACATGATATTTTAAGGAGTTAGGAGTATGAAAGTTTAGAAATAAAGTGAAAACAAAAGTTTGTTTTTTACCGACAAATGATATTGACAGACTTGTAAAATTTGTTCATTCACTTGCTGTTTCGCAAGGGAGTGCATTTGTAAAATGAAAGAAAAGAGGAATAAAACAAAAGTGGCCTACCCAATCAAATGTGAAAGTAAAACGCACATATTCTTGATCGTAAGGAAATAAACGCATTTTCTACTTAATTTCGAATGCAAACTATGTTGAGATTTCCCGGGCATAATATATTTTGCAGACTTCAAACCTGTGTATGGAAATACACTTGCCTGCATCTAAAAGAACTGTTGACCAGAAATCAACTTGGTGGGTTCGTCATAAATTGTAAAACAGAGTTAGTTTATAAAATCAGATATCAGCCTCACGACCAACCACCGCAAATTTTGTCCCTACTCACGTGAAGAGGATATTTAACATGCGATTATTCGCGGAAGACGAAGAGAAGATCGCTGAATAAACCAAGACGAAGTTGAGGTTTTTATCTAGCGATATTCACCCAGCCTGTGGTGAATAATTGTTTTAGTATAACCGTAAAAAGGTGATTTTTTCAAAAAACGAATGATTTGTAAAAATACATGTTTTACAAACGTTAAAATTTATTTCAACAGTTTACAGCGATTCAAATTTCCACTGTTTTTATGCTTTAAGGTACAGTATTTTCGTCAAAATAACGCATTTCTTTATCTGTCACTTTGACAGAAACATTTTGCCGCCATTTTGAAAAAAATCTTAGGTCATTATCGCGTAATAATCCGAGGTCGTTTGACCAATCAGATGCCAGAATTTTCGATAATCACCTTTGTAATTATACTAATAATATATAATGTATGTTGGGTTGGGTGCTGTCGCCATGTTACCCGCACGAAATATTTTCTCCTCGAACCCAGTCCGTAACCGCCACCCTTTCCGTAACAAAACGATAAAACCTTGAGTCGCACGTCAACAAATATCATTCCGCGAACTGGGGTACATGTGGTGAGCAATTTTGCGAAGTGCATCTCCAAGTAATTGCGAGATTTCTTGTAGACGCTATAGACGTGTATATGGTACTGCGTACTGGTACTAAAACAAATTAATTCTAAAACAAGGTTATCGTAATGGCCTATGCATCAAAGAAATTATTCAGGACACACTCTCTCCTTGGTGAGTACTTTCGCTATTCCTCCATGCTGTGTCTAATAATTCATTGATTTGTAATCTTTGCTCGATTCACTATCATAAACAGCTTGGTTTACATGCACTAGAGAGACAGATCATAAGTCCGGAAGAACTAGGGAAATTTGAAGGCCACAAATTGACCTTCGGTCGAAAAGACAAACTAAAAGTTAGTTCATAAATCATAATTCACCTTTTGTACTCGTTATATATAAACTGGACTACCACGCAACAATGAAGAACGGTGTGCTCTTAATTTTGCAGTTGTACTATACAACCCCTTCATCTGTAAATTCTTCTTGCAGATCGAGTTATTGATAACGAGCTATGGGACATTCCTAAATTCAATGTTTCCTCAGCAAAGAAAGATATCTGGGAAGGTAAGTCCGTTTAAGAACTGAGCGGCAGTGTTGTGCACGATTATTTTGCACGATTTTTTATTTTACAAACTTTACATACATTTTTCGCGAACTATAAAACGAAACTGAATCATATGCATCAAATTTCAGCGAGGCAACCGGAAATATAAACATGCAATATCACAGGAAGTTGTATTTTTGATGTAAAAAACTCGTACACTTTAAAAATTTAACAGATGAGAGGTCATCAGCTTAAGGGTAACTTGTCAAATGTTTCTGCATAAACAAAAGTGTTTTTTTTCCAGCGTAAATGCTCGCGCCAACATCGTAATTACTCGTGAATTAACGTCTGCTGGCAGGTTACAATTAAAATAATTACAGAAAACCTGTCGATATGTATAGCCCCACACTTTTAGACAAACTCTTTCCTATTCCTAGATCATTTCGAACAAGGTTTAAGACACTTATGTGAAAATAAATCAAATCTCGCTGAACAATCGCTCAGTAAAGCCTTAAAAATCCTATCTGCTTCGCCAATGACAAAACACATTAACAAAAAGAAAGCAACATGCTTCCACGCTATGGCGGAAATCTATTTAACCCGAGCATCGCAGCAGATGGATGATGACGGTTTTTGTGAAATGATGGTTAAAAGCATCGCTCTTTTCGAGGCAGAGCGAATTTACAAGCACGGCAGCTACAAGGCTGACGAGAAAATCGACACAGCCATCTTCGAAGCAGAAGTAAAGTTCATTGGTAAAGTATTTGGGGCTGGTGGCGTCGATCGTTACAAGAAGATGGAAAACAAAAAAAATCCGAATCGGCAAAAGTTAGAAGAGATTCGTTTGAAACAAACTACCGAATATTTCCCTGCCCTTGACAGACGTCCGGATTGGAACTCAGGAGACGAAGAAAGACGATGCCAAGAAATTGAAAAGATATATAAACAAATTGATGATGATATGAAGTGCCTCGTGGTCGAAATTTTTTCTTATTGTTGTGGAATTGCTGGTCCCGCACCCTGCAACTTTTCTATCATTGGTCTGGGATCTATGTCTAGACAGGAGATTACTCCATACTCTGATTTAGAGTTCGCAATTCTGGTGGAATCCAAAAACAAAAACTCTTCGTCAGAACAACGGCAGTACTTTCGATTCCTGACCTACTTAATTCAAGCGCAAATCATCAAATTAGGAGAAACCATTTTGCCAAGTGTTGGTATTTCTAGTTTAAATGATTTCTACAGTGGGAATATAGAAGATGATTGGTTTTACGACGATGTTATTCCCAAAGGATTTTCATTCGACGGTATGATGCCATGGGCCTGCAAGACTCCTCTTGGAAGAAAAGAATGGCGTGGACAACCTCGGCAAGAGTACATCATGACTGTGGATGAAATGCTGAAGCTTCAAGATGTAATTCCCGGCTCTGCTCTCGAGAGTCTGAAAACCGCAAACGTTTTCAGCAGCGTGTGCCATCTCTTTGGCGATGAAGAACTGACAAAGTCCTACGAGCAGAAATTGTCTTCCCTGGTCACGAATACCGAGAGGAGGAAAGGTTTTCAAGAACAAGTCATGGAGATCATGCAAGGTTTGGTGAAGACCTACAACCCGACGTCACTGCCTTTAAGTGACAGTGGAACGCAACAAGACGTGAAGAAAGAGGTCTATAGATTAGCAAGTCTTCTGGTAGAACAATTGTCAAAATATTTTGGAATTTTCGGGCGCAGTTCTTGGCGATGTATAGATGAAATGAAAGTGAAGAAGATACTCACTGAAGATGGGGCAAAGAATTTGCGGGTTATGTTAAGTATTTCCACTGAGCTCCGGTTAAAGTGCTACCAAAGGCAAGGCAGACAAAAAGAGGCATTACCTACAGTTCCACAACTGTCGGTCACTGAAGAAAAATGTACTCCTTGCTCATTCACGACAGCCATCATCCGTCTTTATAAGAGTCTTTTACCGTTGTCATCAACGATGTCTAAAATCGTTTCGAAGATCAAAAACCCCCATCATCAGGTAGTTATTTCGCAGACCTCTAAACTAGACTGTCTAGACATAGATGAAATCGCCGAATGTCTCAAAAGCGTCAACTTAAGAGACTCTGAAAAGATACTTGTGAAAGGGCTTCAACAAGAAACATTTCTGGATGTTTCGCCGATGACAATAGCCTTAGCATATCTGCGTGTTTTACAACTTCCTAGAGCGATCGAATGTTTTCTTTCCGCAAAAGATAATTCAGTGGATTTGGTCGACAGTGCAGATGTACGTCGTGCACTCACATATTGCTACATGCACGTTGGAAAATTTCAAGAAGCTATTAAATGTTGCCGTGAAGTGCAAACAATACACACACTCGCGCCAGATTTCGTTAAAACAAGCAACGTAATAAATGCATTGATTCAAATCATGTATGCCTATATCCACCAGGGTCTGTTAAACGAGGCTGTAAATGTGCACACGGAAATCGTTAGCCTTCAAGCCCAACAAGATCCAAAGGACACTGCAGTCAATAAGACGAAAGTGAGTTTTCTTACCAGCAGCGCGATGCTTTTCATGAGACTCGAACAGTACGAGAAAGCGGAAATCATACTTAGAACCATTTTGAAGGGAATAAAAAACCCCCGAAAGCAATATTTCACCTATTTCATGACCCTGAATAACCTTGCCGTCGTTCTACTTTGCGAAGACAAGTTCGAGGAAGCGAAAACCATCTTCCACGATGCATTACAGGTTGCCCGCGAACTTTATGGAGAAAACGCTGCTCATCCCAATTTTGCTAACTGTTTAGTCAACCTGAGCAAAGCTTATTTTTATCTTCAAAATATGCAAAAAGCAGAACGTTTTGTTCGTTTGGCCCTCGTAATTTATTCTCAATTACACGATTATGAGAAAGAGTTGGTCGAGCCTGGCATTGTGGATGCGCTGATTATCAAAGCAACAATACACCAGTTTTATAAACAGCTTGATGATGTGTTTAGAACTTTGAACCACGCAAACGAAATTTCTAAGAATTTGTATGGCGGCCAGCCACACCCACATATTGCCTTCATTATTTTCCTTCTTGGCGTTTGTGAGCAAGATCGTGGAAATTTCTCGGAAGCATTACAGCATTATCAAGAGTATTTGAAAATTCACGAGAATCAAAGACTGGAACTTCAAAAAAGTGGACAGGATTGCAAAATGGCCAATGTTCTTGTTCGAATTGCATACTTGGGAGAACATTGTTGCCATGATCCTTCGTATCTTCTGTCATGTAACGAGAAAGCGCTGAAAATAGAAGAGAAAATTCACGGCAAAGAAGCAAATCATGTCCATCTAGCCAGGTGCTTTGGATCACTGGGTTCTTGTTTGATGAAAGCAAACCGCGAGTCTGAAGGAGTGGAGTATATCTGCAGATCCTTGAAAATGTTTGAAGAGATTAACTTAGATGCGAATAAAGCATTTGGTCACGCACACCTATCAATTGGAGAAACCTTTGGACAGATTTCGCCAGAACAAGCAGAAAAGCACTTGAGATCAGCAGAAAAAGCTTTAAAGAAGGTCTTAATGGATGAAAGTGATGTATTGTTGCTTGAGATCAATTCTTCCTTGCTGGAGATTTTTGCGAAGACAAACAGAATGAAAGAGGGCCTCGAGCTTGCCGAAAAACAGAGACGCTTGATTGATATTATGTTGTCTAAATCCAATTCTCCAAGCGCTCATCAGCTCTCTTATGTGTTCCGCCTAGCTTCGTTTTACGAAGACAATGGAAGACGAAAAACTGCAACAGATTTGTTCATTGTCCTGATTGGACGTATAGAGGAGCAGGTCGATACCGCTGATTCAGACCAGGATTTTTTTGAGTTCCTGCTGTGGACTGCGGAATTAATAGCAGGAGGTATTTACCGAACTAATGGAATGTTCGATCACGCAGAAGCCATGTTTGAGCGTATTCTTTTGTCAGTGGAAAAAACAACTTCACAGCGGCAATTGGGAAAATACTTTCGACATGTTGCTCTGTATCATCTATCGTCTATTTTTACGGAAACCGGAAGGTATGAACAAGCACATGAACTGCTTGACAGTCTTATCAACGTCTACGAGCAAGACCCAAAGTCAATCGATCCCGATGCAGCATCGTTCGTCTTTCTCGTTCGTAGCGAACTTAATCGTAAAACTTTATGTTTCAACCTTGCACTTGAAGACCTGGAAAAAGCCTTGAAAACAGCTGAAGAGTTCCGATTATCGAAGTCTACGTCCACATCAGCAGCTCAAATTCTTTATGCTAAAGTCATGAACGCATTTGGATTGGTTCATGAAGAAAACAACAACCCGAGCCTTGCTCTCGAATATTATACTTGCAGCCTAAGAACTGTTGAGAGGTTGCCACCCAAGATATATACAGCTGTGTTCCATCAAAATAAGGCGGATGTTCTAAAAACGCTTGGACGATTTGAAGATGCTACAATACATTACCAAAAATCTTTGGAAATCAGAGAAATGTTGCATTCCGAGGATCCAGTTAGAGAAGATATTGCTACGGTGCTCTATCATTTGGCTCTCACCCAGTATATTAGTCGACAGCCCAACGAGGCTTCCAAAACTCTGGAGAAGCTTTTACCCTTGAGGAGGGAACTTCTTAAGGAGGGTGGTTTAAACCCTTTGCAAAATTACGCTGCAGCGTTGGTTCTCAAAGGTGGCTGTCACATGTCGGAACCTGATGAAGCTCAGCAAGCGAAAGAGGCCTTCGAAGAAGCAGAGAAAGTTCTTAAGTGGCTGACGGAAGGACAGCTAAACCAGGATTACGCTGGAGTTTTGCACAATTTGGGTAAGTATAATTCACAAAGAAGCACATATTGCTTAAAATGAGAAACAAACTGATTGGTTCCTACATGCATGGAAATTCAATTGTTTTTTCACGTGGAAATGATGATGTCATCACGTGGAAATGATGATGTCATAAGCCGCGTTTACACTGCGTGTGGACGTTGTTCATCTGGCCTATACAGGCTTGGAACTGGCATTGGCCACAAAGTCCAAACCAACATGTGAAAGGCTTTACCTAGTCCTAAATATCCAATCTTTTATATCTAAATTTAATAGTATAATCAGATTCTCAATTTGGTGTATACATATACTAAAATTAATCTAACTTTCCAAATTCTCTGTCATAGGTTATGCTTGCTTTGTGTTAAATCAGTGGGAAGAAGCAATACCCAAACTGGAAAAGGCACTTGAGATGAGGAGAATTATTTATGAAGGAAAAGCGGTGCCAGATGTAGCCTCAACCTGCGACTTCCTCGCTACAGCGCTCTTTAAGAATCACGAGTACCAGAAAGCATTGACTTACTTTGAAGAAGCTTTGAAATATTTTGAAGTTTGCCAGTCCCCAGATAACGAGACCAAATGTGTTCTCTTTATTGCTCTTTGTCACAAACGTTTGAAGAATTTTGATCTTGCTTCGAAAGCGTTTGAGAAAGTCAAGGTGTTGTGTGCCAGAGAATCAATCAGTGATGAGATGCGAGATGAGGTTCAAGAAACAATGGCAGAAAATGAAGAGAATACGAACAAACCCAAGGACAGTTAATGCCACCATTGGCTTTGTGCTGAGCACCGTGACAAATCGTATAGAAGTTTAAGCTAACCTGCATATAAAAAGGATGAGCTAAAATTGAGCCAATGCAAAGAAACAAGCAATGCTTGCGCAAATTAGGCTGTTAGACTTGGCTTGATGTAACAACTTGCCCGATCGATGCATGGGATGATAAAAATAGTCTAGAATCATTTTGAATCCTTCCTTCCCCCTATTTACCGGTAATTTTGCTTACGTATGTATTCACAAAAATAAATCTACACTAATAAATATGACTCATGGACTACGGGATATCAAGTACATCACATATTCGGTAATAGGAGTATTCAAGGGTATTATGCGGTTATAGTGGTATACATGGATATAATGTGGTCATATAGGGGTATATTACGGGGCTTTTGTGGTATATAGATGTTGTGGTATATAGATGTTTGTTACGTACTTGAATATAACTAACAATGAATACTCTTGTTTCATTTTTTATTTATTTAACAAAGAGTTCTGGTAATTACGTCATTCGAACTATATGCATGTAATGTATGCATGCATGCATGTAATCATTCTTGCATGTAAAAAGTTACGCGAGAGAGAAAAAACTCGTTTCGCGGCGTAATTAATGTTCATCAAAGTTTCTGAAATTGCGATACATTGCACAAAAGAGTCCAAACTTTCACCTCTTTAAATGAACTTGGATTTTCAACCTCTCATTTTCTTCTTTGCACAAGCGGTTAAAAATGAGGCTTTTACAAACGTACTCCCGCTTTTCGAGGTTAATTTTTCTGCTAGTTTTTGCTGTTAGAATACTTGGACGTAAATACATTTTTGAAATATTTTGATAAGATGATAGTTTTTTAAACATTTTTAAATCTTCTAGTTTTTTCTGACACACCTTGTAGAGGAGCTAAGACCATGTGCACACGGTAACGTTTTCGAGCGTTTTCACATTCGTTTTACGCCAAAACGGTTTCAAACACCGTCAATCTTCAACCAACAATGGCGAATGCCGGTTACAAGTACGAACTATGACGCCACGTGCAAGAGCTCGATTGAAGCCACCATAATGGCATCGCTGGAACGATTTTACCCGACATCGTTGAGATATTCGTTAACGATGTTCACAGATTTGACTTCTACCACAGTTTATACCATTGGGTGAATATGAACTAATTTGAAAATGTGATATGAGATTAACCAATCACGAGAGACAATTATTTCACCCCTGCGAATTTACTAGTAAATTTACCATATTTGCTTGTGGCTCAGATGTAAATAATGCCGGCGGTAAAGAGTTACTATGGATCGTAAATATCGTAAGTATGATGCTACCCGCATCAATCTCTATCGTCTAAATACTTCAATAGATGTTGGCTGGAATCTGTGGCTGCCTGCCAGCAGAGCTTTTGTTTGTGGTGAGCCGTAATGATACCCCGGAGGGGGTTGGTACGTAGAACCGAGATTACTCAATGAATTTTGAGTTGTGTTGGCGTTTCCGCTGATGTGAAGATCACGAAAACCACCGAAAGTTGCACTAAAGCCAGGATAGCACCAGATTGCTTTCTCGTTTGCATGAACTTCAATTGGACACTTGAACGGCTTCAGGTTGTCCTTGTTTCGAAGTGAGAATAGGAACGAAACATCGGAATGCTTGAAAGTTTGAGCTAGAGCAAAGTGAAAATATAAATGTTTATTGCTGAAACGTGGCTTCGAATAATGAATGTTTCACAGAATATAGCAAAAGAACATTTGAAGTATAGCTGGATTACAGCACTTTTAAAATGTTTTCTCTGATTCTATTATGTATTATTATATTGTTTTATATTATATATTATATCATATTATATCATGTTTTATATTATACTTCTAATGTCCTAAAATGGCAAAAAATAGGAAAAGTAAAGATTATACCAGATGCTTGCGCTTTTTTCCAACTTTGGTCTGTGAAACCTCCAAAAACGTTGATCCCACATTTCACCAAGGTCACTGTAGGTCCAACATCGTCACATTTTCTGTGAAAATCCTCTCCTTTCCAGCCATCTCGTGAAGCTCGATAACAAAGTTGCCAAGTGAATTTATGATCATCCACCCACTCCACAAGTTGTTTGGCATGCTCAAAATTCCCATCCAAGATAGTGGAATTGTCAAGCAATGATTGTATGGGGTCATCAACTGTAAGATGAGATAAGATTAAGATTTTCGATTGTAAATAAAAAATTTTGAGTTACCTACAAATAGTTATAGTTGCTGCCAGGGTTTCCACAATGCAAAACCTTGAAACAAGGGAGGGGGGATCTGTGTTAACAGGATATTAGGATGCATTCTTTTTAAAAGCTCTTTGTCATTGCCATTGAGGACAGACAGTTGTGGAAACCCTGGTTGGTACTGCGTTCAGTATACCAGAATATCCATTTAGATTGTGGTATTCACTTGATAATCCATCAAATACAGTCGCTTGTGCTGCACTAACAGGTAAACACACGCACATAGGAATTAGATTATCATTTTTAACAATAAACTTACCAATATTTCCCAAATCGCTCAGGTCCACACGATTCTCAACAATGTCTTTCGGCGAGTTTGCCTGCTCGTATTTAAGAAAACCATAATGAACTGGCCGCAACGACTCAGGGCATTCCTTCACGATTTCCTTCGCGTGCATCTCAATGTCTTTCCCAAGGGAAAGGATTTCTTCCTTGCCTCCATTTTCAACGATATTCCGAGCAAACTCTAGTGAACCATTCACACCGTCTACGTATGCCTTCATATCGGTATATTGCTTTGCAAGTTTTTGGTAAACATCGTCGTGCTTGCTATCAACTTGCTCCAGCAACACTGCCGTGTTTTGTTTCAATTTCACGAAAAATTCTTGTAGGATTTGTTTCTCCTGTTGCAGGACGACATCTTTGGCCTTTTTGGCGCTGGCTTGCACATTTTGTATAGCGTTTTTGATATCTTGTAAAGCGCCCAACCCCTCGCTCGACTTCTCCTGCAACGTTGCCGAGGTCTTCTTCAAGGCTTCCTTCTGTTGTCCTGCCACTATATCGACAGGTTGACAAACGTGATGTGGTTTCGGGTGATTTAAAACAACGCAAGCAATACAAGTCAGCTCCTTGCATGTGTTGCAGTAAAATTCAAGCGGCTTATCCCCGTGACCAAGCCTCTTGCAACGCGACGTTCCTTTCTCCTTCGCTTGGTTCTCTGGTTTTGCCAATTCCTCCAGCGTCAGCACAACATGCTTTTTGAAATCTGGCCAGTTGCTGTGCGCCGTCAAGCAGTTCTTGCACAGATAACGTTCGCATTCGGTGCATCTGCACGTTGCTGGCTCTTTCACCTTGCAAGATTGACAAGAAGGCTTCTGTGCTTCTTGTTGGGTTTTCAATATTTCGAGCATGTTGTTTATGAAGAAATTGGATGGAAGTCGTTCAACATTTTGACCATCTTCCAACTCAAACTCGCCTCTACACTGCGGACAGCTATACCTATGCTGTATGCCATCACAATGCACCAGTAACAAGTCGCGTTGAGCTTCAACGTATCTTGCCAGACATGTTTTACAGAAAGAATGTAAACACGGAAGCGTTAACGGTTCCTCGAACGTCTCAGTACAGATACAGCACTTTAGAAGTTCTTCCAGTTGTTCTGTGGAAGCACGGTCAGGCAAGGAGGTCATGGTCGATGTAATCAGGATTTAATATTACAATCTCACATCTATTACCGAAACCTTTGTTTCTGAAAATAACGAAGAACTCGGGTTTGGGAATTAACGCTTTAAATCCCATTACCCGGGACCCAACTTCGGCTTTTATTAATGACACATTGGCTTGGAAACAACAGGTTGTTATTAAATATTCACTGAATAATTAATAAATTATAATTATCATTGCAATCTTTCGCTTAAGGCTTTCTGGTCATTTGAAATCAAGGTTTGGGATCACAGTTGTAATTTATTTCACATATTGCCGGGAGAATGTTAACAGTTTAAATGCAGGTAATTTGGTTAGCCGCGGCGCAAGACAATCTACAATTTAGCACATGAATGGGAACGACAATATAAAAATAATCTTTTTAATATTAATACAATATTGATTTACCAACACGGCTGTAGTTTCCTATGTCGCTTCAAAACCAAGCTATTTTCATACCTTGCGTTGACAACAGATTAAAAGTTTGAACGTTTTCCTGTAGTTCGTTAAACGAAAGTAGTAAACAAACGAATTTATGACGAAGTTCGAATAAAAAAGATAATAAAAACACATGTGCAGATGCCACGTGATAATGTTACCACGGCCGTGATCTGTGAGGACTAAGTCAAATATCAAGAGAGGAGAAAGCGTTGAAACCAAGAGGCAAGTTACGTATATTATTGTGTGAAGAAAATGCTTTTCTTTGAAAAGTCTTTGTTGACGTCTTTGAATTGATGTTTGCGGTGTACCAGCTGTTGGTGTGTTTCCACGCTGATCCTTCAAGTATTTCGCCTCCTTTTTCAAATGAAGGATCGTTTTGAGGTACAGCAAACAGGAACAAAATAGCATAAAGACTCCACTTATAAGACGAAAACCTGGAATGACCTTTTCCAGATCTCTTCTCAAGGCTACGTATAAGAACGCAAACATCCATTGAAATATTATAACCGCCATTGGTATTGCTTTCTTCCCGTTCATAAACACACGGTACTGAAATGGATAGCAAGCGATAGCACATCGATCCAACGCCAGAAAGAAAATACTGAGAAATGAAATGTACAGAGGAAATGAGAACAAACGAGAGACGATTAGACCATCACTACACGACCGCCAATAGTACCTTGCGAATTTATACAAACATAAGATAAGGTCGGAGACCGTGTTATTCATTATGAGATACGATGAACAGTTCTTGAAGCATTTGAGAGGATCTTTTGTCAATCCATAGAGCATCAACGAGTTACAAAATACCCCAACGATTAGTGAAAATTGTCGGCAAATGGCAAAAGTATTGTTGTCCGAATGTGGATTTATGCAACTTGCCGCTGTAGAATTCATTTTAATATATATGTATGAAGATGAAAATTCAGACGTACGTACGTAATAAAATCTTGCTCAAAATGATTATAAGTAAACAGGCAATCGTTATATTTGATTTATACGCTTGAATTATTAATAAAAAGGCGGTGCACAAAAATACTTCCCCTAAAATTTAAATGAAGATTACAAGAAAACACCGCTGCGATTTCGAAAGAAGACACGAAAAACTGGATTCTTAACCGAAAGATCGACTTTCTGAGATGGACAGACGTTTTCGCATAAATCCTATACAATTCCTTGTCCCAAAGTCAAACACATTGTTTACCTAACAAGTCCTTACGAATTTATCATTACTATGATATTGAAAATGTCAATTCCGGTTAACGACTTCCTCCATTTTATAACACTTGTTAAGATGATAGCTTCGCAAAAAACATCATACAGTTTCTGTATGATGCAATCACAAATACATTATTTTTAAACCAAATCAGTTCAGATGACTCGTGGTGTGGACTGCTGAGTTCAGGCAAAAAAAAGGCTGAAAATTTGCCGCTGAATTTCAGGTCAAAGTGATCACACTCAAATTGTCATAATTTTTGCAGCAGTATATATTAGAGTCACTTAGTCCAGTTTAAACAAGAGTTCAGATCATTTTAATTCTACAGCTGCGGTGATATCTCCCACGGCAAATTAAAATCTCCTGTGTTGCAATTACAGACAACAAACACTGCAATTTAATTTTTTTCCAAATAATTATTTTCTCGTTTGATGTTGAAAACAATTGCCGTAGATCAAGCATCGTTGGCATCACTGATTGTTTTGTTGTATTTCTGATAAAATTCTATAAAATCTATCTTCAGTTATTAAACTAGCATCACGATGAGGGAGTAATATACGTTCATCTAGGAAAATAATTTATCAAGTTTTAAATCGCAGCTGCGTGGCATGTACGTAATGAATAGATTAAGAATTCACTGCTGCATGTGAAAATGATTTGTTTTTGCACTGAGACTAAGGGAAATCGACTGGGCAAGCTGGAAGCAAAAAAAAAGATTTATTCCAGAGAGAATTTAATCTAGAACTAATTTGATTGCTAGTCTTATGCTCTACAACCGAGCAAGCAGAGAAAGGTTGTTTTAGGATTTCTACGGAGCTAACCAAGCATGGACGCCAAACGAACGTTAATAGAGGGGGACCATATTCATATATTCTGCCATACCTGGCAAATTTCTTTTCAAAACAATTTCACTATCAAAAGAAATCAGCGCCCATTTAACTAAGGCAACCTCTAGTCCTTCAGGAGGAATCGAAATTGCGCCTCCTGTAGAATGAACTGCAGCACTCCAGCCGGACTATTGCATGGGCTCCGTTGGTGAGCTACAATCAAATCCCTATACTTTTCCGATTTATTTACAAATTCCCCCAAACAACATAGCCAAAAAAGGAAAAGTATGAATCCACGAGCTCTGATGGCTAAGCGTCAAATTGGTAAACAAATGCGCTGATTGGTTATTTAAAATTATATCTTTGTAAAGCATTATTGATATGTTTTTATGAAGTTACACTATCTCAGATGCCTATAACTACAAATAGAAAATTATTTACATAGTTAGACAGACATGTCTCGGATAGAAAACTTTGCAGGCGACACAACAGGGAGATCTATGTATAAATATTTTATGACATCAATGTAGACAGATAAACCTCTTCGAAAAGATCTTAGATACCGCGCCGTCGACTTAAGCTTCTAAAAGAATTAGGCCTGCACTATTTCCGTAATCCTGCAGAACAAAATCTTAAACGTCTTCCTGTAGTTTGTCAAGCGAAAGGAGTACACAAACGAATTGATGACAAAGTTTAAATAAAAGAGATAATAAAAAAACATTTGTAGATGTTTATTAATAACGTTACGGCTGCCGTGAATTCGCTTGACCATGTCAAATATTAAGAGAGGCAGAAGCGTGAAAACTAGAAGACAAGTGATGTATATTATAGTGTAAAGAAACTGCTTTTGTTTAAAAAGTCTTTGCTGACGTCTTTGTATTGATGATCGTAAAGCTGTTGGCGTGTTTCCGCAATGTTTCTTCAAATAGTTCGCCTCCTTTTTCAAATGAACGATCGTTTTAAAATACAGCAAACAGGAGAAGACCAGCACAAAGATTCCACCAAAAAGACGAAACTCCGAAGCAATCTTTCTCAGATATTTTTTCAAAGCAATGATCAAGAACGCGAACACCCATTGAAAAATTACAACCGCCATTGGTATTGCTTTCTTCCCGTCCATAAACACACGGTATTGAAATGGATAGCAAGCGATAGAACATCGATCCAATGCCAGAAAGAAAATACTGAGAAATGAAATGTACAGAGGAAATGAGAACCAAGGAGAGACGATTAGACCACCAGTACACGACGGCCAAAGATACCTTGCGAGTTTATACAAACATAAGACGAGGTCAGAGACCGTGTTATTCATTATGAGATACGATGAACAATTCTTGAAACATTTGAGAGGATCTTTTACCAATCCATAGAGCAATATAGAATTACCGAAAACTCCAACGATTAATAAGAATTGTTCGCAAATAAAAAAAGTTTTGTTATCCGAATATGAATTCAAGCAACTTTTCGCTGTCAAATTCATTTTAAAATACACGCATAAAGATATAAGACGTACGTACTTAATGAAATCTTGTTGGAAATGATTAAAGTAAACAAGCAGTTCATGGCTTTATTTGATTTCTGGGCTTGAATCATTAATTTAAATGGCGCCGGTTGCAAGGTTATATTCTATTTATATTCTATTCCTCGCTTGAATTTAATAATAAATGCAAAAATAGTCCAGTAATCATTTTCGTTATATATGAATTCTGAGATGGACTTTGAATTTACCCCATAAAAGTGCCGTGAACTACTTGCATGTTCCAAATCATGGAAACGATCATCAAGTTCCTTCAGAATCATTCAGATCTACGCCAGTATCAATAAGAAGAAACTAAGTACAGTTTCGAGAAAGTCCAGTTCGATATTTCGAGTTATGCTCAATATTCAATATGATATGCATTATAATAGTCTTAATAAATTCTATATAAAATCTTTATGAAATATGTAAACTAAAATTCTGAATGAGAAAATAATGTTAGTTTACATTCTTCTCAGTTTGAATTGCGGCTGACTGACATACGCAAGAAATGAGTCGATTAGGACTTTCAATAGACCTTTTTTCATAATGACGTCAAAGGCTGATATTACACGAAGTTTGATTGGATCGTTAGTTTTGCAGAGCCAATCAAACTTCATGTATCATCACGCTTTTCATGTTTGACGTCATTGGGAGAAATGATTGGTGCATGAATCTACTGGGACGTGTGAAGATAATTTCAGAGCAAAAAATACATAAATTTTTGTTGAAGAGATCATCACATAAGGAAACGGCTGCCGACGGCTTCCCGTCATCCTGTATTCCGACTGTGTTTGTCAACACTACAGGATCGATGGAGAAATACAAACCAGCCTTAACTGGTTCTCAGTACAGAATAACACATATTCGTTTTTATTTAGGCAATCCCTAACCTTACACCAAGCTACAAAATCACGCAATGCATGGTAATCAATATTTAAACAAAGTTAAGGTGTGTATTATTAATTTGTAGGAACATCATGTGTA